TTTTTTTTTTTTTTTTTTTTTTTTTTTGCTGTGGAAGAAACCAGAGCCAGAACTTAATATTGGTCTCCATGGTGAAGCATAGGGGATTGTTGAAACATAGGTCTTTTTTTTTAAGTCAGTGTCTCCCTGTGTAGCCCAGGCTGACTTCAAAATCCCAACCTTCCGGCCTCAGCCTCCTGTGAGGTTGGAGGTATGCATTTCGACACCTAGCTAATAACTAGGACTGAAGCACAGAAAACCACAGTAAGCCCAAGGATCTTGTCTCTAAATATAAAGGAGGCTTCTGAAGGCTGTGGAGCAATGCAAACAGATCAGAGGATGAGCCAAAGGTACTGTGGCCAGTGGGAGTGGAGGGACCTTGCACACACAAAAAGCTGTAGTTGATTGGCACCTGCTGGGACTGTGAAAAAGCATCTGAGCACAGAGCATAAGAAAAATTAAACTTTTTTATTTTAACATATTCAGTGTCATCTAATGGGGCTATCATTAGGCAAAGATTTTAGCCACATGAACGTGTGTGTGCTAGGCATTCTCAGAACCAACAGCAAGACCCCTGGGCATTCATTGGTTGGCAAGCAGTGCATTTACCCACAGACACTGAAGAACACAGTTCTGGGTCTGGGATGCCAGCCTTCTGTGGCCTGCCTGTGAGGATAGCTGTGTTGACAAGGCTCAAAGTTCACTAACAATCTTCAGGTTTGGCTGACTGTCACCCTCCCACGGCACTCTTCTCCTTGGGTTCTACCTGTGGCCACTAAGTCACGAGACCTTTGGGTATCAGAGAGACCTTGTTAGGTTGTAACCAAACCTGGAGAGGCTGTGAGAGCCTGTCTGTGGCCAGGAAGACACAGACACAGCGTCCACTCTAGACTCAGTACTCAGACAGTCAGACACAGCAGTCACTCTTGATTCAGTTCCTCAGTGACAAACCTTTCTTGAGTCACTTGCCACATGTGGTGATAGAGGAGACGGGACAGTAAAGCCAGCTGCTGGGAAGGTAGAGGTGACTGCTGAGGGAAGATGACTTCACTAGCCACCATGGCCCGACCAAGCCCTTCCATTGCACCCACGGGCAAGGGAACCAGGTGGGAGGGAACTGGGCCCTGCACCTTTCCCCAAACTGCTTTTTCCCCATATTAGCTCCAACTGAACTGCTCTCTATTCACAGTCAAGGAGGTATGGACGGAAATGTAACTGGAACCCTGGCTTCTCACACACACACACACACACACACACACACACACACACACACACACCAAACATACATATACAAATCAACAACAACAATAAAAAATGCTGGGTGGTAGTGGCACATACTTTTAATCCCAGCACTCGGGAGGCAGAGGCAGGCATCTATGTGAGTTTGAGGTCAGTCTGGACTACAGAGTGAGTTCCAGGATAGCCAGGGCTACACAGAGAAACCCTGTCTTGAAAAACCAAACCAAAACAAAGACAGTAACAAACCTCAAAGGATGGAAAATAATGCTCATGCAAATATTAACCAAGGAAAGAAGGATTTAGTATCATTTAAAGTAGATAACAGAGCAAAGAAAATTACCAGTGACAAAGATACAACATAACAGAATACTAAGAGACCCAACTCCACAGAAGACACAGAAGCTACAAATTTGCATGTACCAAGCAACAGAGCTGCAGAATATGTGAGGCGAAACCAAAATAGAAAGAAGAATTTCACAGTTATATTTGTGGACTTCAATCCCTTCTCAACAATGCACAGATCCACTTGACAGACAATTAGCAAATGAACAGAACTCAATAGTACTGCCAATCAGCAAGGAGTGATGGACTTCAGAGAACTCCCCAAGACCAAAGAGCACACATTCTTCTCCAGCACCACCATATACGGAACACACAGCAGGACAACCTCCTGGACAAAACCCAACAACTCAACACAGGGCATGGTGCCAAGAAACCTGGCAGTCCCAGCACTCAGGAGGCTGAGTGGGTCACAAGTTTGAGGCCAGCTTGGCTTACATGGCGAGATTCCATTTCAAAACAAAAAGCAAAGCAAACAAACAAACTATAGAGACACATGAAGAAAAAAAAAACCCAGCGTGTTCATGGACCATAGTAGATTCAAATTAGAAAGTATTAACAAAGATAATGGAAAAATTTACCAATGCTGGGAGACCAAACAACACACCTTTTTTTTTTTTTTTGAGACAGGGTTTCTCTGTGTAGTTTTGGTGCCTTTCCTGGATCTTGCTCTGTAGACCAGGCTGGCCTTGAACTCACAGTGATCCACCTGCCTCTGCCTCTCAAGTGCTGGAATTAAAGGCATGTGCCACCACTGTCTGGCCAAACAACACACGTTTAACTAACTCATTGGGCAAAGAGGAAATCTAGAGAAATATGGGGGAAACACCGACCTTCTATTTGAAATGGAATACAGCATGTCAGGATTGGGGGCACACAGATAAAGCCATGAACCAGAGAAAACACCCAACCCTAAGTCCTCACGGTGGAAAAGCACGGCTGACTCATACCAGCAACCTACGTTCCCATCTCGAGAAGCTGGAAAAACAAGAGTACAGCAGACAGAAAGCAAGGAGCAGGGAGACGGAAGTTATCAAAACAGAGAAAGCCAGTGAAACAAAAAGTAAATGTTTCATTTTTGACAGTGTTGATGGCTATTCCTGGTTGTCAACTTGACTACATCTGGAATTAACTAAAATGCAAGCGGCTGGGTATACCTGTGAGGAATTTTTCTTAATTAAATCGTTTGAAGCAGGAAGACCTACTTTTAATTTGGATCTTTTGAGGTGGGAAGATCCACCTGTAAGCTGGGCCACACCTTCTGTTTGCAGAACATGGAAGAGGGAAACTCTTTCTCTTTGGCTGCCCTCACTCTTGCTAAAAAGTCCACTCCTTCACTGGCATCAGAGCCTACTTCTTTGGGATTCCAGCATATACTAAAGACCAACTGAGACATCCAGCCTCATGGATTGAACAACTACTGGATTCTTGGATTTTCTGTTGGTAGACAGTCATTGTTGGACTAGCTGGACCACAACCTGCAAACCACTATAGTACATTCTCTTTAATATACATATATTACATATTATATATGTATGTGTGTGTGTTTAGATACATATTAATTCTATCAGTTCTGTTCCTCTAGAGAACCCTGACTAATACAGACAGGGTCTTTTTTGTTTTGTTTTGTTTTGTGTTTTGTTTTTTGTTTTTTGTTTTTCGAGACAGGGTTTTTCTGTGTAGTTTTGTGCCTTTCCTGGAACTTGCTTTGTAGACCAGGCTAGCCTCGAACTCACAGAGATGCGCCTGCCTCTGCCTCCCGAGTGCTGGGATTAAAGGCATGTGCCAACACACAGCAGTAGGAATTTATTTTACTTTATTTTTTTTTTATTTTTCAGAGCTGAGGACCGAACCCAGGGCCTTGTGCTTGCTAGGCAAGCGCTCTACCACTGAGCTAAATCCCCAACCCCAGGAATTTTTTTAAAAAGATGTTAGAATATTACAAATTTATAAATTTGACAACTTAGTGTAATGGGCCAAGTTCTCAAAATAAACAAACGATCACAACAACTCAACATGAAGAATTTGTTTTGAAAAGTTCTATGTTACGCATGAAAGAACTTTTTTTTTCCTTTTGGAGACAAAGTCTTACTCTCTAAACTGCCCTTGGACTCCTGTTAATCCTTCTGCCTCACCCTCACAAGTGCTGCAGGAGTAATGCAATGTCTTTCTTTCTCTTGATCTATTTGTACTGTTTTTTTTTCTTTACAGTACTAGGGACTGAACCTAGGACTTAGCATATGGTAGTCAAGCACTCTACTGAGCTACATCTCTAGTGGAATGGAATTTGTAATGTAAAAACGTTTGGGGGGGGAGTGGGAGGTCGGCGGTGATGGCGCACGCCTTTAATCCCAGCACTTGGGAGGCAGAGGCAGGTGGATCTCTGTGAGTTTGAGGCCAGCCTGGTCTACAAAGTGAGTTCCAGGAAAGGTGCAAAACTACACAGAGAAACCCTGTCTCGAAAAACAAAACAAAACATCAACAACAAAAAAAACTTTCAAAAGAGAAATATTCTGCTGAGAGTTTAACTTGGTGGCTGAGCATGTCCTTCTCATGCACAAAGTTCTGAGTTCAGTTCATAGTACCAAACAAAGCAAAACAAAGTAAATTAAGAAAGAAAGAGCAAATCCTAAAATTGAATAGAAGCCGGGTGGTGGTGGCACATGCCTTTAATCCCCGCAGAGGTAGGTGGATCTCTGAGTTCTTAAAAACAAACACCAAACATTGCACAAGTGAATCCACTCAAAGAAGTAATGTGATGACCTCAAGTGCAGCCTTTGAGCTCTGGTTCTCAGTGGGACACAAGGAGAAACAAAGCTGAAGTCTAGACCCGGGTGGCCTCTGGGCAGGAGCACGAATGCCACTCAGTTCAGTTAACGTGAAATTCTTATGGACCCCTGGATGTTGATGGAGGGCCAAAGAAACCATGTCTCCCTGTAGGGCTTAGGTGATGACCCTGGGTCACAGTGGCTGCCAGGCTGTAGTCAGCCACAGAATAGGTGCTTGATTTCTCTGTTGGCCACAGCTCGTGACTCCCAGAAGTCACACTGTGGCCTTGGCCACTCCTACATAGCATACATCACCTCCTCCTTCTTCTGGTCAGCCTTCAGCTTGTTTTCCTGGATGAGGTTCTGCCGGGCCAAGATGGCCTCCTCATGGCTCAGCTTCCCTTGCAGCCGCCGGCACTCGCATGCAGCTAGCTGCTCCTCAAGGTCCTTTGCCTGCATCTTCTTCTGCCACTCAAGGAACTCAGAGAAGTCTCCAGCCCCATCCACAAGCTTATCAACTCTAGGGGAAGGGAGACAGAGGTGCAGCTAGGTTTCCTCATGTGATCAGGACCACTAGGAGGTCATTGGTCCTGTCAGGCAGGGACATCCTCAAAGAACATTCTCTGCCAATGCTCCCTACCTACTTACATCTGCCTGCCTCTCCCGTGTACCCACCCAGCCACCTCTAAGCCATCTCCTCGCCCGTCCTCCATCCACTTCTCTGTCCCCCTACCGACCCTGTCCACGTTTGTTCACATACTCATCCTCCCAGTCAGCCGCCTGAGGTCCCCACCACAGCCCAACTTGTAGACATGAAAGGACACTCATGGGTGGAGTTCCAAGGAGCAAGTGACCCTGAGGGTGGTCAAGGGACAGGACCAGCTTTCTGCTAAGTCTCTCCTCGCCCCGGTCTGTCTCCTCACTCACAGAGCTGAAATTATCTCTGTGAAATGTGGCCATGAGCCTGACACAGGCCTGCATGCCTTTCCCCGACCACAGCAGGACCAGAGATTGGTCATGACGCCGTGAAATGCATTGGGTCCTCATCCTCATTTCTTGCCATATGACTGGACACCTAAAATACTTGAGAATTTCCAAGTGTTTTTTATGCAAATGAGGTAATTTCAGACTCGTGGTCTCTGGGCACCTTCAGCATGAGGCTGGTCACCAGAAAGACCAAGGCAGGGGCAGTGTTTGGAAGTTTCAGCTTCACCCTCAGCATTGCCCAGGAAACTGGACAGGAGGGGAGGTGATCACACACACCAGTGATTTCATTAATCACATACATGGCAAATCCCCATACAACATAGAGGTCAGGGTTGACATGAGTTTCTGGAGAACTGAGCAGGTAGAGGATCCTGGAGGCTGGTGATCTGAGTGGAGTGTGAAGCTCTGTGACTGGTTTCCTACTCTCTGTCCTGTGCAGTTCTTCTCTGTGCCCTTAGTCACACTTTTTACAATGAATTGGTATATGCAACTAAGCCTGTCTCCAAGTTCTTTGAGCTTCTGTAGGTAATTAATCAAATGGGGGAGGGATTCAAGAGAGATGGTTTAGTGCTGTTTTTTTTTTTTTTTTTTTTTCAAGACAGGGTTTCTCCATATATCCCTGGCTGTCCTATAGACCTGGCTGGCCTTGAACTCACAGAGATCTGCCTGCCTCTACCTCTGGAGTGCTGGGATTAAAGGTGTGTGCCACGACCACCTGGATGAGATGTTTTAGCTTTTAAGAGCACTTGCTGTTCTATCAAGAGGATTGATGTTCACATCCCAGTACTCACAAAGGGCAGCTCACACTTATTTTATTAATTCTATCCCCAAGATAACTGACGCCCTCTTTTGGCCTCCTCAAGCACCAGCACACACATGCCCATCCACTCACAGAGATGCACACATAAATGATAAAAAATAAAAATAAGTCTTAAAAACAAAACAAGAAAGGAGTTGTGAAACCCCAAAATTACATATGGTTGGTTAGAAGCACAATTAAAACTACCTGGAGACCTGAGGGGATTGATTAGAGGTAAGGTGCTTGCCTGGTACGCACATGGCCCTGGATTTGATCCCCAGCATTGCAAGTACAAAATAAACGAACAAAAAAACCTATTTGATGATTACAATTGGCATCTTGGGGTGGACAGTCTTGAGGACACAGCCCCCACCTTGCATCATTGACCATCACCTCCAGGTAAATGATGCCATGGCAGAATTGAATTATAAGATATCCAGATGGTGTCCATTGCTGTAGCATGCTTACAAGCAGGTGAAGAGAAATCTTATTTTTGGCTTGAGAAGGGTGTTGTTGAGTGAAAACATTGGAATAAACAGTAGGATTGGGTTGTGTGTTCACTTACTCTGAAAAATTTGGAGTTTCTTGTTCTGTATAAATGAGAATGGACCAAGGAAGAGCCACTTGCTAGTCAGGAATCGCTGCTTGTGGTCTACACTAGCACAGTGACTGATTCCAAGATTCCACAGAAAGGCTTGGGTGTTAGTAGCAGGGCACGGCCTAGGTAGGTGAGAGGCTCAGAGCAAGAAACGGTACTGACCTACCCCAGTTACAGCTACCCTGGAGAGAGAGGCAGTGTGAGCTGAACCACTCCTACTTTTGGAACGGACCTAACAGAAGCCTGAAAGTCCTGAGAGACTTTCAGGACAGAACAGTAATAGGACATCTTCTGGGTCACATATCCTTTCCAAACTGTAAGGGATTCCTGTTCAAAGATGGGGAGTGGACCGTGAAGATGTCAGATCTGGACTTGGTCTTTGGCTGCTTGTTTGGCTGCTAGCTGGCCACACCTAGGTAGTTTGGATGGGGTGGGTCACCAGAAAGACCAAAACAAAACCAGGATCAAGTGCTGGGATCTGGGAGGGCAGACGGATAACAGTTAGGCTAATTCCCCTTGGCCAGTGCGGTGGTTAACCACACCTACCTCTGAGGTCTCCATGAAATGCAAATGCCAAGGTTCATGTGAGCTCTTGGACAGCTCAGCAAATAGTCTTAGAAGGTATGCACCTTGGTAGATAGGGAAACCTCCACCAGTTCTCCTATGGGCTCTACGCATCTCTCCACCAGTATCAATCAGTCATATCTTTTACAACTAACTAGTAAATGTACATAGGAGTGCCCCTGAGTTCCGTCAGCTGTTCTAGAAAGCTAATCAAACCCCAGGAGAGGACTTGAAACCTGATTTAGATCCTAGAGTCGCAGGGAAAGCCAGCTGGGAACTGCAATCAGCACCTTCAGGAAGAGGTCTTAGGATACAGCCCCAAACCCATGAGTGCTGTCTCCAGAGGGCACTAAGCTGCTGTCCACTGTAAGCTTTGCTGACATGTGGAGAAAAATGTGTGGCTGAGAACCTAGGAAAAACCGAAGTGGGTTTTGCTTGTTGATTTTGAGACGATGTCTTTCTGTAGCCCAAGCTGGCTTAGAACTCCCCATCCTCTCACCTCAGCCTTCCCAGAGCTAAGATTCATATGTGGACAACCACGGCCTGCCCTGGCCTTGCTTGCGTATTCCTCAACGAATTCAGAGCCTCCCCCTCCTCTCTGCTGAGCGGCCTGATGACAGGCTCCTACTCTAGGCTTTTCTCTTGAGGGCAATATCCTTGAAAGGGAAAGGGAAAGGATTAGATAATGTCATCTGCCCCTCACCTCTGCAGCTCCTTCTCCACCTGCCGCTGGTACAAGGCCCCTTCTCGAAGGATGGTAGCCGTGTTCAGCTTGACCGGAAAGGTGTTAGGCTGCAGCAGAGGAGAAGAATGGATGGTAGGTTTTAAAAGCAAGTGTCTGCTATCAGATATCAAGTCCTTCTAACTCACCCCCCTGCCTAGGCACCCTCTGCTTCAAGGGTGAAGCTGTCTGTGGGGCCCTTGGGTCCTCCAGCTCTCACTCTCAGAGCCTCACTTGGGTCAGGCAGCAGGGAAGAGTCCCAAGAAGAGGCCCGATAGGCCAGGAGGCCCTCACCTTGAAGAAGGTCACATTTGGAGTCCTGCGTATTGGGGATGCAGATTGAAGCTGCTCCTGCTTTTCGAAGTCCTGTAAATCAGGCAGAGGTAGTTTGGCATCCATTGTGCATGCCCAGTATCCCTGGAAAGGTCGCCCACTCCCCTCTGTCCTCACTCTAGCTACCCATCCACATGTGCCTACCCTGGCCCCTCAGGGTCGCATTCTGTCTTCCATTGCACTCTAAGCCTTGCTGGGGGGCTCGACCTCCTGGGCAGGAACAAGGAAGGGAGAGAGTCTGCTGGGCCTAAGGACAGTAGTCGCCAGAGAGGATTGCTGGCTTCCTCAGGATTCCGTATCCTCTTCTGCCACTACCCCCCAGGGCTGAGTTAGCCCTGCCCTAGTCCCTTTTCTTGGGTTGAATGCCTGTCCCATGCTTCTTGCTGTCCCTTGATAAGAGTTGGGGAGAGCTTAAGTGCCAGTATGGAGGAATAGTAGTCCATAAAGGCAGCCATCGCAACTCCAAGCATGCTGCTGACTGGAATACATAGCCCTGGGACTATCAGCTGTTAGATCATGTGTAGCCCCCCACTCTTCAGTGAGTTTCTCTGGAAGACAGAACTTCTTTGTATTGGTTCATAATCACCCTAGTCTTTTAATTAATTACTCAATTAATTAATTGGTTTTTTGAGACAGTTTTGTTGTTGTTGTTGTTGTTTTTTGTTTTTCGAGACAGGGTTTCTCTGTGTAGCTTTGTGCCTTTCCTGGATCTCACTCTGTAGACCAGGCTGGCCTCGAACTCACAGAGATCCTCCTGGTTCTGCTTCCCGAGTGCTGGGATTAAAGGTGTGCACCAGTAGCACCTGGCTATTTTAATTTATTTTTAAGACCGAGTCTCACTATTTGGTTACGGCTAGCCTGAAACTCACTATATAGACCAGGCTGGCTCAAACTAAAACTAAAGGATGTAGACTGCCTCTGCTTCCTGAGTGCTGGCATTAAAGGAGGGCATCACTACACCCAGTCTTTCTTGTCTTCCCGTATGAGTTTGGGGAGAGGGATCAGTGGGTAAAGGTACTTGCTGCTGAGTCTGATGTCCTGAGTTCCCTCCCTGGGACACATATGGTAGAAGAGAATCAATTTCTGCAAGCTGTCCCTTGACCTCCACAAGTGTGCTGTGGCACATGTGGCTGTAAGGTAAGGATGCCCTGAACCACTGATCCTCTGTCTCGACCTCTCAAGTTCTGGGATTACAGGCATGTGCCACCCGTACCTGGTCTATGTGGTGCCAGGGATGAAAGCCATGGCTTCATGAATGCCAGGCTACACTCTGCCAACTGAACTACATCCTCAGCCCCAGTAAGAAGAACTTTACGGCATAATAAAAAAGACTGGGCTTGCCTTGGAGGCTGGGCATTACCTGTGCTTGTGGATCCCTGTGCAACCGGGGCATAGCACACCGTAGCTCTTCCATGTTCGCTTTCAGTAGCAGCTCCTGCCATGACATCATGCTGTTCTTTCCCCGCCAGCTGCAACCCAGGGTCCTCAGGCCATCGTGTGTGTGTGTGTTTGTGGGGTGATGGTAGAATGCATGTGCTTTGCCTAAGGTCCCCAACCTTCTCCCCTTCCCCTGCTCTTAACAGCCCAATGGGGTGGCTAGGGAGACAGGGGTCCCACGTGGCCACCTCAGCCTTCCGGCGGTTGTATCTTTTGATCATTTGCAGAAGCTGCTGCTCCACGGGCTCCTGGTAGGTGCTCTGAGGGACCTGGTGGAGTGGCCGAGGGGTGAGTGGTTAGTGAACCATAGTGTAGACGGTCAGGCCAGCAGCTGGCATGGGCTCTAGAGTTCAGTATGGGATGGGGGTAGACAGAGGGAGCGGTAGGCCAGGGCACTGAGGGCATGCCATTGTTTCAGGGGAGAAGCCAGGGTGTGCAGCCAGCTCTTAAGACAGAAGGGGTGGGTAGAGGGGTCAGAGAGTATTACGCATTGTTTACAAAAAAAGAAAAGTAAGCTGCCCATGAAAGGACTTTAAGGGAAGACTTTGGTCTGTCCTCTGAGTTCAGTCACAGGAGAATCTCAGTGTCCCTAGAGGAGCCGTGTCCATCAGAGGGCAGGTGAGGGACCAGCCTTGACACCCTTGAGCCTGAGATTCCTGAACCTGTCCCTCTGATCCTTGTCTTCTCCTCTGCACGTTTCAAAGACATGACCAACTCAACTCATCCAGACCTAAGGTCTCATCTTCTTCCATCTGCCTTTCCCCGAGCCTTGATGACCCTCACTGGGGACCCTGGTGTTCTTTTTCACCAAGGCCTTGCTCTGTGACTGTGTTCTTCACACCCAGAGCCATCTCCAGTCTTGCCCACCTGCTTTTATAAGTTCTGCCAAGTGCCTGTTTTCTTGGCTTCTTTCTTCCCGACAGCCAGGAGGAGCTGTGTTGGTTCCGACCCACCTGACTGAGTGTCACCTCATGCTTTCTGCTTGGATGAGGGACAGTTCTGCTTGTCCCCTCACTATAACATAGACTGTCCCTGAGCTCAGTTCTGTATCCACAAAGCCTGTGTCCAACACCCTCCATGCTCTGAGTCCATACTAGGAAGATTGCATCTCCTTCCCCACCCCACTCCCACTGCACTGAGACCTCCCCTGGCTGCTGTCCACCTTGGGAGGGATGGAAGGACACTGCCTTGGGGCTAGTGCATATTTTTGCTCACCATCTGTGCCTCCAGGCACCCATAGCTCCTCAGCCCAGGAGGTGAAAGGGAGTCCTGGCCATGGGTCAGAGCATGGAGGGTGTTGGACACAGGCTTTGTGAACACAAAAATGAGCTCAGGGAAGGTCTACTATGCCACAGTGAGAGGACAAGCAGAACTGTCCCTCAGCCAAGCAGAACAAACAGAAAGAGAGGTGGCTAGCAGGATTAATTCTTGAGGAGTTTGCACCAGAAACATCAGAGATCCTGCAGATGAGGAAACTGTAGAGTTGCTTAGCAACAAAGCCCCAGTAACCTATCTTCCATCCATCCAATTACTCGTCATCTATCCACTACCCATATAGCCATTTATTCATCTCTATCTATCCATCCTATACAAGTATTTATTGAATGTCTTCTCTAAGCCACGACTTCACCACCCGTGTCAGAAATACGTTATGAATAAAACGGATGAAGAGCCAGGTAATAAGCAGATCCACAAATTGTAAACAGTAACCAATGCTGTGGAGAAAAGATGAGTTAAGAAGAAGAAAACTGGGTGGGAGACCCAGAGAGCTGAGGCCTCATGAAAAGCTTCTGGAATGAGATTTTTCAGTGAGACTTGAAAACTGGAGGACTAGGGTGAGGTGTGGGACCTCCAGTGCCGTCCCCTCTCACACCTCTGTAGTCCTTCATTCTAGGAGGACCAGACTGACCTAGGAGGCCACTGCTAGTGCTTGTGGGAATCCACAGTCTGGTCAGGACTTAGCACTCAGAAAGCCAGTGACCGGTTTAAGCAGGCCTGAGGCCTGAGCTGGACCAATCAGACTTTTCTGAATTGCTCCTGTCCCTATACATTCTTTCCTGTCCTAGACAATGTACAATGTAGACACAAGACATGGATTCGTTTTGTTTTTTAAACTAAAATGAGATTAAGTTAATCTAAAGATGAAATCCACTTACAGAGGAGACTAGTGTAGAGGCAGTCACAGAGAAGGAGAGCTGGAACCCTGACCAAACTGTATCTGGAGCCTATTTCTATTTTAATACTAGTGGTCTATTGTCTAAGCCGCCAGTTGAGCTGCATTTTTCTGTTACATGCAGTTCAGAGCATCCTCACTGATAAATCAGAAACAGACAGGAGAAAGAGAGGCTCTCAGCAGAGGAGACAGACATGAGCTTCCCTGAGTAGGGGTCAGGCATTTCTGGGGCTCAGGCAGACACTCCTGACCCAGCCTGAAAAGCATATACACGGTGACTTTCAAGTGTACTATCTAATGGGGAGGGTAGGTGCCATGGCTAATGGTGAACTCCAAGCACAATCCAGACAGGTCTAAACCCATGGCCAGATAGTATCACTTAGCACCTCCTGATTGGGTTGAGAATGTAGTGGGCTCTGGGTCAGCCTACTTCCCTCTCTGTATGGGTGTGTAGGGGTGTGTGGGAGTGTGTGGGTGCATTGTGGGTCGCTGAATGCTCCTGGGTGGTCCAGTACACTCTTGACCCTGGAGGAGTCCAGCTGCCCAATGACCCCCACAGTCCAGTCTCCCAGCCTGAACATCCTGATGGTGCAGACCTGTGTCCACCACAAATGCCCAACTCACAGGTTTTGTCTTGGCCACAGTGGGTACTGGCTCAGGCATTGTAATGGCACGGGGCTTCGGGACAGTCAGGTTGAATTCCTTGGGCCGTGTGACCTTGGCCTTGGTCTTCACAAGAAGAGTTTGATCGGTTGGCACCCCCTCCAGTTGCTTGATTAGCTCCTGGACCTCTGGCTGCCATCTTGAAGGCAAAAGTGGAGAAGGCTCTAGAGTCACATCCTAAACAGGTCACCAAGAAGCTGGCCCTTGGGATGTGAAGGACCCTAAGTGCGTGGTTGTCCCTCAGGGTGAGGCCATGATGAACAGGTGACATTTCTTCTCTAACTTGTGAGTACAGTTCAGTCACACCTTCCAGCACACGTGTTAAGTTTCCCTTTGCACAGATGAGAAAACTGAGGCAGAGGGGAGAGGGGAGCTGGGAGGCGGGGATGTGGAACTCTCTAAGGACAAGCAGGAACTGGGGTAGGAAGCTAATATGGGCAGTGCATATGGTACTGATGGAGGTAGCTGGGAACAGGGAAAACAAGCCGGTAATAGGAAAGGGATGTTCTGGAGAAGGCACTATTGATGACAGGTGGAGGGAACTGTGGGTACTGGGTGGGGTGAGGGTCACATCCCCACTACGGGACATCCATCTGTCCTTGTGCTCAGCCTCAAGGTCCTGTGGAGCAGGGGTTTCATAAGGGTCTTGGTAGGTGGTCCAGAGGTCTAGGAATTCCCCCTTTCGCTCTCCATACATGGAGTGGACCTACGCCATCATCACAAGCCTGTTCAGTGTTACCTCCTGCAGGGCTCATCAAGGGTGGATGCATGGCTTGGAATAGTTTCTGCCTTATCTCTAGAACCAGGACTACCCGGAGGAAGTGAGGCTGCCATGAGGACTAACAGCAAAGGGCTTTCAGAAGGCCACACCTGGACTGGGCCTCCAGCTTCAGGGGAGGTGTGGGGAAGCAGCTGTAGGCGTGTTCTGTGGCTGGTCCCAGGGAGGGCTGGGAGGCCTGTGGTGAGTGCGGAAACAGCACACACCTGTCCGTCCCCTCAGTCTTTGGAGTTTGTCCTAACTGCTGACAGTGGAAATCAGTTGGGACAGCAGAGCTCTCCTTGGCAAAAGAGTAGCTCTGAGAAACCCCATTAGGGGGCCAAAGCCTCGGACACACAGCTAACACATAAACGGTCTGCTTGGGTCCAGGCTATCTGCCTGTCCCCAGGAAGACCCGATGCTCTCCCAGCCCTTTCAGAGGGGAGGAATCAAGGAGATCCACACTGCGTCTCACCATCCCTGCCACAGGCTGTGGTAGGTAGATTCATTGCACCTTGGGCCTCTCATCCTAACCTAGAACAGGATTTGGCCACTCACAGAGCTTCCATGAGCAGGAAGGGGATGAGGAGCCCTGGTCCCAAGGCACCTGGAGTGGGCCCAAGACAATTTTCTGAGCCCCGGTGCCCTGTCACAGCTGACCCACCTCATCAGAGGGTCGATCCAGTTCTCCTTCACGTGGGTCGTGTCGTAGATGAGGCTCCACTCGTCTTTGATCCATGAGCACAGGTTCAAGGGGTTAAAGAAGAACCTGAGGAACTGAGGTAGAAAGTCCCTCAGCAGCTCAGCTGTGGCTCAACCACCACCCACGGATGCCTCAGTGCTGCGTACAGGGGCCAGAACAGGCTGTGTGACATTCAGTTGTCACACCTACTGCAGAGGGCATTCATCCAGCTTCTAGGCCAGGAAGGCCCCTTGTTCCACTCCTGGGTAAGATGCTGCAGCAACACGTGGAGGACCTGCCTGTCACTCACCCTGCCCCATCCAGTGGGCTCTGTAATTCTGGGAGTGTAATCATGCCGTTTCTGTGCCCCGTGACCTTGCCACTACAGCGTTGCGGGGTGGGGGGTGGGGTGGGGGGGCTGGGAAAGCCCTCAGACCTGGGAAGGTGGGTTGTCAGTCAGCCATTCACAGCGGGTGTCTGACCTCAGCCCTGAGATTGAGGCAGTCTCCAAAACCAATCAGAAGGGACAGCCAATGGGCTACATTGATGCCACTATCCTGTTTGCAGGATCCAGGGACCACATGTCAGAAGCCCAGGAGAGCTCTTCAGTGACACGAGACACACAGCTGGTACTTGGGGGCAGGAAATGTACTTGGGAGGTGACCCTGGAAGTGCGTGGCCAGCTGAGGGGACCGTGGTGAACAAGGCTATGACCATTCAGGGCCTCTGGTCACTGTTGCCTCCCAGTGTGGCTGCTGTCCTCATCAACTTCACCCTCACCAGCCTCTAGCTTCCTTGTGGCCTGCAACCCTGTTCCAAACAGAGGCCACCTTTCAGAGCAGCATTTCTCAACCTGTGGGTCATGACCCCTTTTGGGGGTGGGGTTGAACAACCCTTTCACAGAGGCTGCCTAAGACTCTCCTGCATACCAGTTATTTACATTACACTTCATAACAGTAGCAAAACTACAGTTATGAAGTAGCAATGAAAATAAAGGGTCGCAGAATTAGGAAGGTTGAGAACCAAGGTCCCAGAGCTTTCTACAGTTCCCCCCTTGGCCACCTGCCGACTTTCATCATGTACCTCTGTGGCCTCTCACCTTCTCAGCCCTTGCCCATGGCCAGTGTCCCAATCACCTACTTCCTAATCTCTCAGCTGTCAGTCTTGACACCTGAACGGGAAGCTGCCCCTGTGGCGGGACTCTGGGGTCCTCACCTCCTTGCCCAATCCCACTAGGGTGCATCCTATCATTTTTTTCTATTTTTCCATTCCTCTCCACACCCTCATCCCAGCATCTCAGCAGGGTCAAGGCCACCGTTCTCAATGGGATGTGGCCTCCCAGATCGACATCTGTCTCTGCTACCTGTGGTCTTGGAGCCATGCAGGCAGCATCTCCTTGTGGAGGCTACAAACTACAACTGCCTTCCAAGCAACCTGGGCCTGGGATGCTTTATAGCCATGTCACTCCTGACTGCAGCAGCAGCAGCAGCAGCAGCAGCAGCAGCAGCTAAGACAGGCCATCCTGTTGCCAACAGCTGGATCTCCATCTTTACCTGGCCTCTTTCTAGAGCTCTGAGGCAGGTAGAGGGACTCTAATGGGACCAGAATCACCCAATGGGGCATGGAGTATGGACAGCCTTGTGCTGGTCACCATTTGACCTCTGCAGCTTTGGTCCGTTTAGAAATTTGTCTACAGGTCCCTGGAGTTTTTTTTTCCCTTTGGACCCCACACAAGCTAAGGAAATATTCTAAGCTGAGCTTTAGCCTCAGTTTTTTCTTTCTTTCTTTCTCCTCCCTCTTTTACCTATGAGACAGGGACTCAGGCTAGCCCTCCTATCTCAGCCTCCCAAGCTGTTGGGATTACAGGCCACAAGGCCTATCTCCCATGTGGGTTTTGTGGGCTGTTGTCATGAGTCTCCAGAGCTCCCTAGGCTGGTCAGAGACCAGGTACTGGCCTGGGGTCACTGTGCATATCCTGAGAGTAGCATGTGATCTGCACCCCAAGCATCTGTTGAGTCAGCACTGTGGGACCCAGTGTAGGAGGCAAGGTGGATGTTTGCTCAATAGTCATTATGGATTCCAGCACAAGGCAGCAAAGCCTGAGCCAAGTACAGGTCATGCTGAGTGTAGAATTGGCCAGGACACACAAAGCATCACTCAAAAGATGCCATCGATTTTAACTTCATTGTCACAAAAATGAAGCCCTTGCTTAAGATAATTCTAATTGCTTATCCATCATGGGGTATGTGCAGGTAGGAAATCCTGTCCTTCATAAACCAACCAGATAGCCAGACTTCCCTGAGACAGAAAACATCGTCCTATACCGGGGTATCAGATGGTATTAAGTAGAGAAAAGATGAACCCGCCAGTTACTCTAGCTAGCGGATCAAAGGTGGGGCTGATCGAGCAGATGCACATCTAGCCCTGGTTCTGGTCCCTCCTGATTGGTAGTCTCAACCATGGTCCTGTGGGGTCAGTGGATCTCACCTTGCAAGTCTTGTCCACAGGCTGGGACCTGATGATGTTGCAGAAGAGCTGGAAGCCGAGCTCATCCAGCTGGAACATGGCCAAGTAGCAGATCACTGAGAAGAGAGAGAGCATGGTATGAGGAGTGCCCGGCTGCCCTGCAGTGGGGCGCTGTGGGTGACCTTGGGAGAATTCTGCAGCTGCTGAGAGTCTTTCAGGCACCTTGTTCTGTCAGGGCACATAAGGACAGGTCCATATGGCAACTACCACTTCATGCTCAGTGATTGTAGAACTAGCCACTTGGGGCTTTTAGTTTCCACACACATTACACTGCATTTGGTCAATTCTCAGAAACCCCAGGATTTCTCTGGGCAAAAGTGAGATCATCTTCGGTTTTGTCGATTTTGTGAGCTGAGTCACTCTGAGCCTTTGGGGATGGAGGTTCCTCTGATGAGGCTGCTGGTTCTGCCTCTGAGCCGGGCAGTGAGGGTCAGCCCCAGCTTTGCTCCTGGCGCCAGTCACCTGTCTCAGCCTACCAGCCTACCTCTCCACCTCCTGGGCCAGCATCAAGACCAACAGCTGCTCCTTGGGCTAGATCCCTCTCTGCTCTATGGTAGCACCAGCCACTGTCCACAACAGTCACCATGTTCTGTGGATGTGGACAGTGGTCAGAGGTGGCTCTCATATTTAATCTCTCCCTGGATGATCCAGACTAGTATATGCCTATTCTCTCCACAGGTGTCAGGGCTAGGGACACAAACAGACTTAAAAGAGATATGCCATTTGGCCCAAGCTGCCCTCAGGGTCATTCTCTTCCAGACAAGTGGCTGGGGGTCCAGAGGCTGCATGTCTGTTCACAAGATCCAGGTTTCAGTTTCCCCATGAGAAAATGTAGAAATGATAAAATATATCTAGGCTGGGCCACAGACTTTCAGGCACCTGCGAATCAAGTGAGAGAAAGAGAGCCAAGGCAGAAGCAGGGGGAGCTGCCTTCTGTGTCCGGAAGCTGGTCTGCTTGTTGGCCTCCCTCAAGTCAACCTGTCAAGGGTCTGTGCTAGCTTCCTCTTTAGTCCCCGTCTGGAGTGGGCAGTAGGCCAGGGCCTCACGGACATGTGGACAGTGGATATACGCACCCTCAAAGAGGCTGTAGTCGGCCCACAGGCAGAGCCGCCCGTCCCGTACATAGAAGGCATCCACCACGATGGTCAGTAACTTCTGGTATTCAAGGCAGCCGGACAGAATCTCCAAAACAAAGGCAAGCTTCTGGGGGCTCAGAGCCTGGAAAGGAAAGCCAGGGGTGAGCTCTCGAGGACCAGGAGATAAGGACAGAGGTAGGGGATAGACAGTCCCACATGGCTGAAGAGAGGCCAGTTAGTTCAGCTCTCCTAGAGCAGTGAGCAATGACCACAGTGACTGGAAAGGCAGGACCCCCAGGATGAGTAAGGACAAAGTGGGTGCAAAGACAAAATAAACATGGAAGACAGTGTGACAATAAAACCACAGAAGGACGAGCATTATGCAAATATTCTCCTATACGAGGACAGGCGAAGCCATGGACATAGAAGAAGAATGGCAAGCAAGTGTCTGGGGAGGGTACGGGGAGGCAGGCAGCTGGTGTTTCTGGGGATAGAGTTTCAGGTCAGGAAGACTAGAGGGTTATGGAGATGGATGGAAGTGACGGATGGCTACACAGTCCTGTGAATGTGCTTTGTGTCCCTTGAAAATAGTTAAAATGGTCAAAATTTATGTCATGTGCATTTTATCACAATAACTTAAAAATTGAATTCATATAAAGGCCTTCAAATGAAGAAATAAAATATGCAAAAGAATGCTGCAATATCAAGGGAAATCTGTGAGAACCTGTCCGGAATAAAAAGCAGGGTGGGAGCTGCTAGGTAGCGGTAAGAATTCTGTTCCCTTAGCCAGGCATGGTGGTGCATACCTTTAATCCAGGCACTTGGAATAGAGGCAGGCTGAGTTCAAGGCCATCTAGTCTACTTCAGTTCCAGGTCAGCCAGGGCTATTTAGGGGGACCCTGTCTTGAGTGGGGAGGGACTGAGAGAGAGTGAGAGACTGAGAGATAGATAAATAGATAGATAGATAGGTAAACAGGTAGATAGACAGACAGATAGAGATACTGACTCTAAATTTCTAAATTCTGTCTCCTCTGGGGAGGGAGCTGGTCAGGCAGGGTGAGGCAGGGCTGACTTTTCTCACTTATCTTTTTAAACAGTTCGGTTTTGTGACCAGTGTCAAGACTTTCTATCACTGTGATTTAAAAAAAAAAAAATCTGACAAAAACATTTTACAGGGGGCTGGAGAGATGGCTTAGCAGTTAAGGGCACTGACTACTCTTCCTGGGAACCAGAGTTCAAATCCCATCAACCACACGCAGCTCACAACTGTCTGTAACTCCAAGACCTGACATTCTCACACAGACATACCTGTAGACAAAACACCAATGCACATATAATAAAAGTAAACACACTTAAAAAAAGTTTACAGGTAGAAAAAAATAATTTGGCTCATGGTCTCAGAGGCCGTGGGCCACAGGTAGCTGGCTCCATTGCTTTCTGGCCCATAGTAAAGTAGAGATATGGCAGATCAGAGGGAAGCTGTTCGTCATCTCATGGTGGCAGGAAGCAGGGGAGGCTGGGGTGGGCACAGGATATGTCCTTCCAAGGCACCCTTTTAGTGACATGCTTCCTCAGCTTCTCACCCAGTTCCCACCAGCTCTGAATGATGCGGTCACTCTATGATTTCGTCAGTGAAGCTGTCCGTTGACAAAGTCAGAGCTCTTAGGATCCAGTTACTTCCCAGTTGCCCCACCTCTGAATGCTGACTGCACTGGGAGCAAGACCTTCAACCAACACAGGAGCCTTTGGGGGACAAGTCAGACCCAAATGATAATATGACCCGTGTGTGACATATGTTAATTATTTTATAAGGTAATTAATGTTTTCAAATTAAGGTCTGAAAAGTAATTAAGTTTTGATGGAGAAGGAAAATGAAGATATCCGCTGGTGCCAGCACAGCCCCGAGAACCTTGGTGGGACACTGGCTGCTAAGCCTTTCCGGAAAGCAATTTGGAAAATAGGTTTCGGGAGCTTTATTTTCATGACCCTTTCACAGAGTAAGTGTGCTGCTGGGAATTAAGGAAGCCTTCCAGAACACAGAAAATGTTCATGTGTACACATCAGGGGAAGAGGTCTGGGCAGCAATGGAAACAGGAGCAAGGGTCCAACAGCAGGTGACCACCGGGTCAGACACCATTGCCCTATCCTGCAGACCAGGATGATGCAGCTATTAAAACGATGCCATGTTCAGATTTACAAGGGGATGACAAAATAGCAAACCCACAGTGAAACCACGGGCTGTGACTTTGGTGGCCACGGAAGGCATCTGCCACTCCTCTCTGCTCCTCTGCACCCACACTTCTCTAACAACCTCAAAATATGTTACAGCTTCCCCCCCCCCCCCGCTGGCTAGCCCTTTGAACAGAACCTGCCTCTGTCAAAGTACCTTCCAGAAAGGCTGCATCAAAAAACCTCAGAGCAGCCAGGCACGCCTTTAATCCTAGCACTTAGGAGGCAGAGGCAGATAGATCTCTGAGTTTGAGGCTAGCCTGGTCTACAGAGTGAGTTCCAGGATAGTCGAAGAAACCCGGTCTCAAAAACAACAAAACAAAACAACCCCCTACCCCGAGTTTCCACAGTGTCCATTTAAGAAAAGTATCTCTTTTTACTAATTTTTTTTGCAGTACTAGAGACCAACGATTAAATGCACTCCACCGGAGCCACATATGCCTCTACCAGTGAACACTGGTGTCTCAATGTTTTGAGTCTTTAAATTACATGCAATAGCTATTTTGTGTGCGCATGCATACGCGTGTGCACACCTGTGTGTAGGCATACATGGCATGGCACACATGTGGAGGTCAGAAGACAACTTAGGAAATGGTTCTCTTCTTCTACCCTGTGTGTCCTGGGTATCAAGCTTGGGTCATCAGGTTTGTCACTATAAGTAACTTCACCCACCAAGCCATCTTGCCAGCTCTATTTTTGAATTTTTTTTTTCTTCAAGACAGGGTTTCTTTGTGTTGCTCTGGCTGTCCTGGAACTCACTATGTAGACAAGGCTGACCTTGAACTCACAGAGATCAGCCTGCCTCAGCCTCCCAAGTGCTGGGATTAAAGGTCTGCACCACCAACGTCCGACTCAGTTATTTTTATGTTAAAGGAATAACAGGGTAAATAGAAGAGCCTGCAGGACCCAGAACACATACCAAGTCATGACTTGGTTTCCCTGTGTCATTTTTGGTCCTGTCCTTGCTTCCTAGCACTAGGAAGAGCCTGGAAAGGCATTCTTGAGCCAGCTTGTTAATAAAACACTAGCAGGAAAAACAGAATGTGTAAAGGGAATTGCCTTATCTCTTCTTCCCTAAAACCTACAGCCACTAAGATGTGCCTGTTGTACGGATAGTGGCAGCCATGCCAGGAGAGGTCCCCTGCAGGGACAGCCCTGGAGGAACCGGACTGCCCCCTACTCCTCCACCCTTCCCAAGACTCTCACCACAAGGTTCTAGGTGGAGTCCCAGCCCATTTCCCAGGTTCCTTTTGGAATGCATCTGGCTATAATATATCTGCTGGCCTGTGGGGGATGTGCCCCCACCTTTTTCCCCAGGGTACTCCTGAGGAGTGAGGAATAAGAGATTTAGATAGAAGGATAGAGGGGAGAGAGATAGAAACACAGGATAGCCTCAGGAGGGCCTGGATACTTATCCACTGGCCCAGAACTTTATTCAAAAGGGCTTTTTATAATAATGCCAGGGCGGCAAGGCAAAAGACCTCCCCCTTGCTAGATATAGCCAAGCGTAAGACCCTTCCAAACACCTGGTACCCAGGCCCATGGTCCAATCATCCTCTTATGCAGTCCTGCTGGTAAAGCAAGCTCAGCTCTCACTAGGAAACCTCTGTGGGCTCCCACACTGGCCACCATGGTTCTCAGCTCTGCTGCAATTCTTCTTGGCTTCTCAACCTTACCGTACATGAACACCTTGGGCTTGTGTCTCCATTATCCACAAGTACCCCAGGGACCTGGTCCAACTTCAGGCTGAGAATATGCTGACCCTAAAATGTCCCCTCACCAGCCTGTACCTCTCCCTACACTCCAGAACCCTCTACCTGGCTGTCTGCTTGGCCTCCTCACTCGGAGTCCAGCATATGCTCACACTAAGGGCTCTGCCATTGGACTCCTGAGATTGACCCCCTGTTCCCAGCAATTAATCTTCTGCCTGATATCCCAAGTGCCCTTTCTGTTTCCCCTCTTACCCTCCTTGATCTATCTGCCTTTAGTCCAGATACCTAGAGGCATTAAAACTCTGTTTCCTAGCTGATTCCAAATCCAGTCAGGTCAATGATGAAGGTTACCATCATACCTCCTCTTCAAAATTCCTCACAATGTTTGGAGTCCAAGAGAACGGTGCCAGCTCCTGCATGACTTCCAGGAACTGCTTCGTGTTGCTCCATGTATGGCAGAGAAGAGGAGGCACCAGGTATGTGTACAGAAATGAAACACAAGAGCTGGTCTTGCTTTCTAACAACCTACTGTCTTGCAAAGGCCAGAACAAGAACTCACTTGGGGAGACACAGTCACTCTTGAGGGCTTCACCCCCAGGGACTGAAACATCTCTCCCTACATCATCTTTAAACACTGTGGTCCCGAGAAATTCAGCTTTAGCATGAGGTTTGATGGGGAAACCACCTTTACACATAGCAAAACTTTTGTATTAATATGTGCAACATAGTTTTACTTACATCCTTTTTACATAATTTTTACCTATTATTTACTAGATGCAAGCCAAGCCTCCTGGCAAGTCCTTAGAGAGAACCAAATTCTACTCTCTGCTTCAGCCCTGAGACTGGCATTGAAGGGAGACTCTTGTAGAACACTGTTTTAAGTCATGGTGAACATATTGGGCATTTTAATAAATATTAATGTGGAACAAATTTTCTGTCTAACATTTTCTAACTTGTTTTTTTCCTTCCTTCCTCCCTCCCTCCCTCCCTCCCTCCCTCCCTCCCTCCTTCCCTCCCTTACTTCCTTCTTTCCTTCCATCCTTTTATGATTTTTTGAGACAGGGTTTCTCTGTGTAGCCTTGGCTGTCCTGGAACTCACTCTGTAGACCTCAAACTCATAGAGATCCACCTGCCTCTGCCTTCCGAGTGCTGGGATTAAAGGTGTGCATCACCACCACCTAGCTATTTTTTAAACAATTTTATTTTATGTGTATATGTGTTTTGCTTGCATGTATGTCGGTATACCATGTTTATGCATGTAGTACCTACTATGGAGTCCATAAGAGGGCATCAGATCCTCTGGAACTGAAGTGATAGATGGTTGTGAGGTGCCATGTGGGTGTTGAGAATTGAATTTGGGCCTCTGGAAGAGCAGTCAGTGCTCTTAACCACTGAGCCATCTCTCTCCAGTCCCTTCTCACCTAAACTCTTGTATAAGCCCCATTAACTTCTCCCTTTCTCTTCTGGCTGCTTAACCCAGAGATATTTGGCTGCCTATGCTTTTCCTGTTAGTCCTGCCCTGCAGGATCTTCTTATGCTCATTCCCACTTGTCCACAGTCTAGGCTCTGCTCTGACCTTTTTCTGCTCACAACCAACCTCCCCATGGGCCAGTCACACAGGCTGAGTAGCCAGGTCTGAAGGTTAAGCACACAGACCTTGCCTTGCTTCCTGTCTACACACTCTCAGTCCAGGTAAACCTTGGGCTCTTGGAGTCTCATCTTGGTAGGTCCCTCTGCCCAGGGATCCCTATCCTGCTTCCAGGGATCTGCTGCTCCTCAAAGTCAGACTCTTCCTCACTGCCCGGCTACCTAGCGTGCCTCTGGAGCCCATGTTGCCCTCTCCTTCGTCCCTAGTCTCCCATGGATTCCTGAGTACCTAAGCATAGCCTGTTCTTGCCAGGCAAGGGGCTTCTGAGCACAGCAAAAGTCAGGGTGGTCCCTAGGAACTGATGTGTCAGTGACTTTATGCTTGCTCCAAAGGGCTGGTAACTGATTAGGAATGGGGACAGAAGCCACAGACTAGACCTCCAGAGCTGCCTGGGACCCAGGCCAGGGGACATCACAGGTTCGTGGATGGGATCCCTTGACTCCTGCCCCCTCCCCGAGGCCCAAGTCAAGTCAGCCCAGGTGAACCCAGGCTACTGCAGCTGGATCCACGCTCTGGGCTGCCAGCTGTAACCTAGTTTCATCTACTCAGCGCATCCAAATAAGGATATGTCCACAAGAAGAAGAGCCTAGGGCTGCCATGCACTTAGGGTATGCAGTCCGCCCACCACATGGCCTGTCCTGAAGTCTCTGCCTAGTGGTCTAGGGGTTGTGTAATTTTCTGGCAGGTGGTGTCTCCAGCCTTGACCTGAAAGTCAGTACATCAGCAAGTTTCTGACAGCTGGAGATGAAAGTGTGCTGTTCAAACTGGGTCAGCACCCAGGGCCCCGATCCACCTCGGCTTCAGAGGAACTTTGGCAGGACCTGAAAGGAGCAACATCTGAAGCAGGAGCTCTGCGTCTCTGCCTGAGGTGAAGATCAGCTTCCGGGATACATCAGCTCCATCCACTGCTGCCAACTTGCTGGGTGGCGTCGGAGTGCTAGGCGTCTCATGGAAAGGCACACAGATGGTCACGACTTTGTGATTTCCCAAGTGACAACTAGGACTCATTTACCATTAATCTATTGGTTGTTAACGGAAAAAGTGCCTCACACTAATTGTGAGACCTAAAACTCAGTTTTCTGTCGTGGTCCTCAGAAAGTAATGGCACTGACTTCTCTCTCTGCCTCGCTTGAAAGAAAGGGCCCTTCTTCTACCAAGGCCCCGAAAGACTTAGCAGCCAGGGAGCATGCTGGGGGTTCCAAGTGGGTGGGTGGGTGGGGAGTGGCAAGGAGAGTGGGAGGAACGAATGGACTGTTCGAAAAGCACCAGGGAGGCGTGGACGTGAGGGTGGGCAGGAGAACCGGGAGGGCACGGTGGAGCTGAGGGGCTCTGCAGGGAGGCTAGCTTCTGTGTCATATCTGTGGGGAGATCAGGAAAGGGTGAAAGGTCAGGTCAGTGCCCTGAGCAGAGAGGCGAGAGGGGGCTTTTGCAGTGAACAGGACAGGGGCTATACCAGGGCTGAGGTGGGGTGTGGGAGCAGGTGCGTACCTCACCTGGGCCAGGAAGGGGCGCAGTTCTTGATGACTGAGCTTGGGCTGCTGAGATGAGCTGTTTGTGGGAGTTCATGGGAACAGCGAGGACATAAATACTCTAGACTGTGCTACTTAGATGTGCTACTTACCATTGGCTGCAAGAGGCTAGGGTCGGGGAGAGAGGTCTGTGCTGGATGGAGGAAGAACTGGACCTATTAGCAGGTGGGGTGACTTCTGAGTACCCTGACAAGGAGAAGCCAGAGCCTCGGGGGGCAAGGGGACTCAGAGCAGGTAGTGTCCAGAGAGCCGATCAGCATGTTGCAGCGCTTGTGTATAGGATGACAACCTGGGCAGAGTCTGGAGCTGCCAAGAGAAAGGGTGGCAGGTCTGCTGGGGGAGGGCTGTGCTTGGAGAGTTAACCATCCAAAGTTCACTTGGAAGTGTAGCTGCCATTGTGACAGGCTCAGGGTGAACATTCCAGTGCACAAAACTACACAGAGAAACCCTGTCTCGAAGAAACCAAACAACCAAATAAATAAATAAATAAAAATAAAAAAAACAAAAATAAAATTCCCCCCAGCCTCAGGTATGTTGTAGCAATGCTCAAAGACAGAAGTGGACCATAAGGGAGGTGGGACAAGCACTAGGTGGAGGCACTTAGTAGGGCGCAGACGCTACCGAAGTCCTCATCAGCTAAGCACGATCCACCAGGAACCACGCCCACAAGCAAGTCCTTGTCTACATAGTTGCAGCCTTGCCTGTGTGGGGACTGCAGCTGCCCCTCATAATGCGCCACGGGAGTTTTGTAGCTCTAGGTAGAGCCAGGTCTGACGTGCATTCTGGATGCTGGGGGCCTTCTCATGGCAAAGGGGTGCCTATGGAAGGACCACCAGCCTTCTGATAGATTGCCTTGACTCATACTTCTTCCCATAGAAGGAACTGGACCTCACGCTGTTTGCTGGAAAGTGAAACGCCAGGTGACACATGTCACTGATGTGGGCTCCCAGGGAACCCAGTGGCTCCCCTGACCCTACCTGCTGTAAGGAGGTAGATGCCGTCTCCAGGAACTGCTCAGGATTGTCCTTCTCGGGCTTAAATTTGTCAAGCTGCTCCATTACAATCTCAATGCATTTTCCATAATAGGCCATCTTTTAAGCAGAGTCCTAAAACAAAACAACACAGGTCCCATTATTCACAACCTCTGAGTTGCCAGTTTGGCTGTTGGTTGAAGTAGTTGCAGGACCCTTACCCACACCAACAGGACGTTGGTAAGGGTTCTGGGATTAAACAGCAAGGATTTTGGAGGTAGGGTTTGGGCTCAGGTAAGCTCAAACTCACTACTTGGTTAGTTCATCTCAGGCCTCTGTTGCCCAAGTGATCTGTTTGCCTTGGTGAGCTCACTTCAGGTCACCACTTAGCCCTAGCCTCCCCTCTCTCTGCCCTACACCCAGGGTTTCAAGGCAGCCACCAAAGTCCCACAGCCATGCTGTGGGTGGGGTGACCCCCAGGAGGGGCTCGGGTCAGAAAGCAGGCCTCTGCACACCCTCAGCCCAGCTGGAAGGGTGGCTAATTCTCAGTAGGCTCTGCCCACAGCAGGTGATGAAGACAGAATTACAGAAGGCTGTGGAGTTCTCATGCTGTGTCATGTGAATGGCGGGACCTATGCTCACACATAGAATAAATGGAAATAATAAGAAACACTCAATTAAAATAAGAAATAGATAAAATGGAGAAGGAGAGCTGAGCACTAGCATGCAGTCACCCCTTTGTGTTTACTAATTGTGGATCTGATGTGACCAGCTGCTTCAAGCTCCTGCTGCCTCAACTTCCCCAACATGGTGGGCTAAATCTTGAACTGTAAGATAAAACAAACCTTTTCTCCCTGAAGTTTCTTTTGTCAGCCTTCCTTCCTTCCTTCCTTCCTTCCTTCCTTCCTTCCTTCCTTCCTTCCTTCCTTCCTTCCTTCCTCCCTCCCTCCCTCCCTTCCTTTCTTTTTTCTTTCTTTGTTTTTTTGAGACAGGGTTTCTCTGTGTACCCCTGGCTGTCCTGAAACTAACTCAGTAGACCAGGCTGGCCTCAAACTCACAGAAATCCACCTGCCTCTTCCTCCCAAGAGCTGGGCCTAAAGGTGTGCACCACCACACCCAGCTGCTTTTGTTAGTATTTCATCATAGTAACAGGAAAAGAAACCAAGGTCCTCAGTGTAATGGCCAGGTCCAGCAGCTGATTTTTAAAATTAGGGAGCTGTTCTAAGTGGTCAAAATACCAACAAATGAGAATTTAAGAAAGACAGAAGAGAGAAAGAAAACAGGGACATGCTCAGAATGGAAGGATGTATCTTTCCAGAAGGGCAAGACCTCTGAGGGTTTTGCAGAAGGGGAACTCATAAAGTCTGAGTAGGGTACCCCAAATGCTTCCAGCAGAGATCAGAATTGCCAAGTAGCCTCATGTGTCAGCACTCTAAGATCCAGAGGGTCACCTGTCAAAGGTCCTGCTTGACCCCTGAACAAGTCCTGGGAGCAGCAGGCATGGGTCTGGGAAGCTGAGGTCGATCCCAAGAGAGTGTGGTTGTGGAGGAGATGCAGATGGCCCCAGGGTAACAGGTTAGTGGGCAGCAAGTCAAGGAAGCCAGAGGAAGAGAATGCGGTTCCCCTGCGGTCTTTGGGAGGAGCCTCTCTGTGGTGCTGCTTGGGAAGCTTCCCTGAGTAGTTAGGGGGAAAGGCTGGATGACCAGTTCACTGAGGGCCAGAGTCCCCATGTAACTTGGCTGCATTCTGGGCCAGTACTACCACAACTAGGGCCTGACAGGGCTGCCTCCACAAAGGTAGCACCGGTCTCTCTGAGGATGATCTCATGGAGTCTGGAAACTGCTTCAAAGCCCTGGGACCGTCAACAGGTTCTTGGGACCCAATAGGAGGCTCTATGGGCACTGAGGGAAAGCATAGCTAGGATTCCATCCCTGCTCAGCCCATGATGACAGGCACCAGGGCCACCTTTTCTTATGCCTAGAAGCCTACAGGGCCATCTCATGGTAGACTCCTCATGGGTCAACGGGATCTTGATGAGAGGGGCAGGAGGAGACAGTAGCCAGATTCGGTCCATCACACATAGGTCCACACCTGCCAAGATGCAGCCAGGGTATGGTGAGAGGTTTGAAGCCTGCCTCCCTGGAGACTGTCCACTAAAGCCACTCCCCCTATAAGGAGCATCTACTGTTGGAGAGCCTACCATGGAGAAAGGCTCCTCTGGCTCCTCGGGTCCTCTCCCTCTCGGGTCACTCAAGTTACTTCTAGTGAGCTTCCTGGCGAGACTTGAGTGCTAAGAGGAGGCTGACCAATGCTTCTGGGAACCACTGCCCACTCTGCTCCCATTCCATGATGCACGCTGAATGAGCAATAGATGGGCTTCATGCCCAGTGGCCACTTCACCCTCTGTGAATATGGCTTCCTCTCTTTGGGAGGGACAGAACACACCCGACACAGCTCTGCTGACATGGGTAGATTTAAGTAATTGTCACACAAGAGGCCAGGAGGCACTTCTCTGGGACACTACTTCACGGAGTGGGAGACATGTGGCTTCCCCTCTGGCCTTGTTGAGGGTGCTCTGTGATAAGTGAGCCTGGGGACCTGGTGTTTATTCCAAGGGCTGGAGCCAGAGCCTCTCCCTGAGGCCACATCTGCTAGGCAGTGCCCTGGAGGTCTGTTCCTCTCCTGGCTCTACCCCTTGACTGGTTAGTCCTGTGAGCCGGGATGCCATTGGCCATGCAAGACCTTTGCCCTCTTTCTCTGGAACAGCTCTTGGGGGCCCTTTGTTTGACTCTGGATCTCTCCTAAGCAGAAAACAATCTCAGACACTCCAGGAATCTTGGCTAAAGGCAGCTCCGTGGGTGTGGGGAAGGTCCCTTCTCTGTGCGCGCGCGCACGCGTGTATGTGTGTGTGTGCGTGTGTGTATGTGTGTGTGTGTGTGTGTGTGTGTGTGTGTGTGTGTGTGTGTGTGTGTTGGGAGTGGGGGGAATGTCTGTACTCCCGGAAGCACTATTTCCCAACTTCTCCAACTCCTAGTTATTAGTGTCTTGGTGACAAACAGTACTGCCTGCTGTCAGGGAGCTCTGGAGAGAACATTAGTTCTGAAAAGATATCCATCTCTACAGTTTTCAGTGTGTGCCCCAGAAAAACCCAATTTTCCTCAGCCAAGTGTAACTAGTGGACAAAAGACATGTACTGATTCACAGCAAGTGCCGGCTCTCACTGCGCACGCGTCCTACAGTGTCAGAAGCCATGCTGTCCGTGATGGGGTACAGGCTGCGGACTCCTCCAGCGTCAGTTACTTGTGTTCATGGAGTCCTTTTCCCCTGGCCTCACATATGAGATAGAGGATGTGTTTAGGTGAAGCCTTAAATCCATTCACTTGACCTCCCAGCCTGACCCCTCCCAATGCACCAAAACTGAGCTGATTCAAGTTCCTGAGAGTGTTGGGTGGGGTGGGAACAGCGGTGGGCTCTAGGCCTTTGACCCTGGCTGCTGTGGGCAGAGTGGAGAGGCGAGGTCTCGGGAGTCTATTCCCAAGTTCTCAGTTGCTGTGGGACCTAGAGGGGTCTCCTCAGTATGTCACAAGCCCTTTACAGTCCAAAGTCACAGCCTAGGACTCCTCCTCCTCCTTCACAAGGGGTCTTTGCATATGGCTCCTTTTTCTTCCCTTAAGTTAGGTGATCTCTTTACATCTGAGTTACATGGGGACACACGGAGACCTGCCTTCTTTGCCAGAGATTCCTTCTGGAAACCTTCTCTGATAGCAACAAAATGTTCATTAAGCCTTGGCGAGCATGGTGAGCAGGGTCCTGTCTCTCACCCAAACCAGGCCTAAGCTGAGAGTGAACTGTGAAGATGAATGCAAAAATATAAAAAGGCTTAAGTACACTAACACAGGCTCCTCCTCATCGAATCTGAAAGATACAGGTGGCCAGGATAAAACCAACTGAAAGACTGCACTGATTGAACTGAGGGGCCTTCATCATGCTAGGTTTCTGTCACTGAGCTTCATGCAGAGAGATTTGGCTCCACAGTAGAGGAACAGGAAGTCCCCATTGACTTTGTTAAACAGAATGTCTTTTATTTTTTTAGTCTCACACATGTAGACAATGTGTTTTGACTATATCCATTCCCACACGATGACTTTGTAAATCATCTGCTTTTTTTTCTTTCTTTCTTTTTTTTTTTTTTAATCTTGGAGCTGAGGACCAAACCCAGGGCCTTGCACTCACCAGGTAAGCATTCTACCACTGAGCTAAATCCCCAACCTCTCCTTTTGGCTTTTTTTCAAGACAGGGTTTCTCTGTATATCTTTAGAGCCTGTCCTGGAACTCACTCTGTAGACCATGCTGGCCTTGAACTCACAGAGATCCACCTATGTGGATTTAATCCTGAGTGCCTGGATTAAAGGCATGTGCCACCACTGCCCGGAAATCATCTGCTTTTCTAAACTTTTACTTACATGGGCTCTTTATACAATAAACTTCAATTTTATTGTCTCATTTAATTGGGGGATAGATGCTGTGATAGTATTTTCTAAAGAAATAAGAACAGCCGGGCGGTGGTGGCACACACCTTTAATCCCAGCACTGGGGAGGCAGAGTCAGGCGGAGATCTGGGAGTTTGAGGTCAGCCTGGTCTACAGAGCTAGATTCAGGACAGGCACCAAAAACTACACAGAGAAACCCTGTCTTGAAACCCCCCCCACAAAAAAAAAAAAAGAATTAAGAACAAAATCCATGTTGAGAAGTTTGGAACGGGGAATCTGGTTCCCTAACCCCAAAGAATTTTCTGAGCCTGAGGCCTGGTCTTAAAAGCCTCTCTTGGTCCCTGGTGAAGAGGTGAAATTAAGTAGAACAGCACACACACATATTCCAGGACTCATGCAGGCAAAGAGTTTATAAAGACTTGGTGTTGGGGGCTGGAGAGGTGGCTCAGAGGCTGCTGCTCTTCCAGAGGTCCTGAGTTCAATTCCCAGCAATCACTTGGTGGCTCACAACCATCTAGAATGAGATCTGGTGCCCTCTTCTGGCGAGTAGGCATACATGCAGACAGAACACCATACATAATAAATTGAGTGCTGGAGAGATGGCTCAGGGGTTAAGAGCACTGACTACTCTTCCAGAGGACCA